AATTAAAATATAATTTCCTTCTAATAATTTAATTTGTGGTTGGATAGAGTTTGGAAATACCATCCAAACAGATGTCTCGTAAGAAGGAAATTTAATTATTTTAGGCTGGTGTTTTGAATTGTCCTGAAACTAAGAGGGTATTTTTTTAGTACGGCAATAGTTATATTTTAAAGTGTTTTTTATTTAAATTTATTTTTAAAAAGTTATTTTTAATATTAATACATTAAAATAATTTGAAAATATTAATTTAAAATAAAATTAAATATTTATTTAATTTAAAAAAAAACAAAACCAAATATGCATTTTAAATACAGCTCCGATTACCGATGAGTTACGGTTAGGTATTCTCAAAAACGAACCAGACTCAGCTAATTGATCGATTTGTGAACCAAAACAACTCGTTTTTTATTATTATAATTTTTATATTATTTTAGTCCGGAATTTAAGTTTTGCTCTACTTTAACCCCTCATGCTGCATTTTAAATTGTGATTATAATTTCTAATATCCTTATGCTGATCCGATGAACCCATGATATGACCACCTGATACTAACTTAGTGTCTTGTTCTGTCATTTGCGTGAGAATTAAATTATCATAATAATTATTTCTATTATTAAATCGATAAAAATTAACTATCAAACTAAATTATCATTTTATTTTTATTTTTAAAATTAAAATTTAAAATTATAATATTAATTATTTTTATTTTTATATTGATATGAGTTAACCCGAGCTAATTATTTTGACTAGTAATTAAAACTTTATTTTTTATTAATTTTTAATTTAAATTTTAAAATTATAATAATAATTATTTTTATTTTTATATTTTTTATTTTAATAATATAATAATTTTTATTTTTATTTTTATATATTTTATTTTAATAATTTTAGAATTGAAAATTTTTTACAATGATGTTTCATAAGTAAAAAACAATAAATATCGTTTCTAAAAATATATTTTATTTTATAAATATATAAATTTACCTTAAAATTATCTTAAAAATATATTTATTTTTATTTATTTAATTAAATATATTTTTATCTCAATTATTTATATATGAGCGAATAACCAAACACTACTTAAAAATTATTATATATTATAATTCATGTACCGGAAACAAAATTCTCAACCGAAACTTTTGCCACAGGGTTTTTCTTGACCTCGTCAATATTATAATTATAATAAAAAACAAAATCATATTAATGTTTTACTGTAAAGTACTCGGTGACTTGTATCCTGGATTACCGTGGATTTTAATAATATATATATTTTGTGATATGACATTTTTTCAATCATACCATCCCATTCCGTGTTTGTTGGAAATTTAACTTATTTTGATTTATTTTTTTTTATTAAATATTCACGTTGTAGAATAACATTTTAGACATTTTCAAAACAGAGCCTGTAAATTTTTTAACGTTCGAATTATTTCTGATCCGGCCCACAACGGGCCCCTATCCAGTGCTGGACCAAGGATTGATCGTACCAAATATTTTCTTACTACAAGGATCAGTTAAAAATACATGTTTTTCACACCGAGGCCCTTACGAGTTGGACCATTTTTTTCCAAAAGTATCGAACATAAGCACGGGTGTGTGCCCATATAGACCTATCCAAATTCATGTTCAATTGGGCTCAAGCGTTAATTCGAAGATGACCGAAGTCTGAGACCAAATATAGATTATTTCTCTCACCAGGATGATATGTGGGATGCTCTCCTCTCTACTATATGGTTGCTCATGCATCCCCGTGGAGGATGGCCTTCCCGGAGGAGAAACGTTAATTTGGACTCTAGGCTCAGGATCTTGAATGCGTCCATGCTACAGTCATATGAGACTTAATATATATTTTTTAGTTTATCGTAACTGTTAATTTCACTCCTGCTGACTGTTAAAATTAGATCTGTGCCGGATAATCAAGCTTATAGAATGATCAGTGGAATCAAGCGTCAAGTAAAGACTAAGTCCACTATTTACAGGGGACAAAGGCCCAGCACACGAAGACGACTTGGTGCAAACTCTTGGCCAGCCACTTCCCACTAAAATCAACCCGGCCTCAGGCTGTCCTCTTCAGGAGGGGTGGAACTAGAGACCACACCACGCTGCATGTCAGCTGTTGTCGGGTGATCTTGATTGTATCTTTCTCACGGGATTTCGGTGGTTATGGAGACATAGCATACGATGACAGTTGTAAGGGTCATCACTGGCTGTTGAGAAAAATCTTTCAGCTAGCCAATGATTGTCGCGTTGCTTGGAAATGATAAAGAGGTTGCCTGCAAAGAAATAATTTCAATATCATGGCAGCGACCAGATCTGGGCTTTGTTAAACTGGATGTGGACGACAACTCTTTGGTAAATCCTGGTCAAATAGGTTTCAGGGGACTTATCAGGGACTGTGATGGAAATTAGGTGGCTGGGTTTACAGGGTTTGCAGGTTATGGCTCTAACCTTTTTTTGAGGTTGATATAGGTATTCGATCGTTTGTGTGTATCATGATTAATTTTATGGGTTTTGAAGTTAATGATCATGCAAATCTCTAGTAGTTATCATATAAACAACTAAGAATTCGAATTTGAGGTCACCGAAAAAACAAATCTCTAGTGGTTATCATATAAGCAATTAATAATCATATAAATCTCTAATAATTATCATATAAATAATTAAGAATTCAAATCTAAAACTACAGAAAAAACAAATCTCTTAATTTCAAGTTTTTATCATTTATTCATCATCTTTAAAACATGGTTGGATGATTGCTTGGGATTGGGGCTACGGACAAGTGATTCTATGGATACTTTGCATTTGTTTCGTGAAGGCAACATTGAGTTTCATCATTTTGGAGCAATTGTCATGGATACTAAAGATCTTCTGGCTAGGGAATTGGAGGTTCAACTTTGTCATACTCTGAGAGAAGGCAATTCCTGTACGGATTTTCTAGCCAAGCTAGGAGCGGAGGAGAGTAGATCTGAGTTTCGTATCTGGAATTATCCCTATCCAAGAATTGTCCCCCTTCTTCTCGCAAACTCTATGGGCATCAATTACTGCAGAGGCGATTATTTTGTTCTTTCTCTTTCCGTTCTACTGAAAAAACACGCTGGTTATCAAAATAATAATTGAGTGTATGTTTTTGGTATTAATATACTCTTAAAGTACAATTGTTTTTTATGTTTTCATAATTATATGCTTGTTTCTTTATATTTTTTTAACTTTTTAAATTTAAACCCTTATATCTTATATCAAGTTTAATGACAATTGTGAGATTTTCTTTTTTTGACTGTCCAGATATTATTTTAAACTAAGTAAATACAACTAAAATAGTTAGGTTCAATTTAACTATTTATATAAACAATTAACTAAGTAAATATATTACTACTTTAAACACTTTATAACAAATTTATATTGTAACTCAGCTGGTTGAACTGCAGGGGCTTAAGCCTGAGATCGTTTGTTTTAAACGATGCTAGCAGCATTAAATTCCTTTTCTCTTCATAGACATCCTGCTATTTGTTAAAAAAAAAAAAATTAGCCCAGGCTCACAGGCCGCCCTCGGTCCCTCAAGCATGGACTTTGTTGTAATAGGCCCTTGAGTTTACAATTTTGATTTTGATTTCTTAGTTTATTGTAAAAAAATAATAATTAAACTTCGACATATTTACATACAAATTTTAAATTTTATTGCAAGATCTCTTATCAACATATTTGTGAACTAAATAAATTCATTTTATCGTTATCAAAAAATCCATCCATACGTCTTTACAAACTTATTTTCTTCTATATTTTCCAATCACATGCATCTTGTATGTTTTTTTACAATCATTCCCATTATTGTTATTAATCCAAATACAAACTAAATAACCTATAAAATCATTTTCCCATACCTTTCTCAAAATAAACTCAAAATCATGGCTTAAAATTGAAGGGATGAAATTTATTAATTTTTTTAAAATAAATTCTTGGTATTAATGGTCCAAGCTTATTTTAATGACAGTCAACCTCTAAAACGTATAAAAACAAGTTTGGGTTCAGGCCTAGTGCTAAGCATCCCTTGGACCTAGGCAGCATATTTGGACCTAGTGCCTAACATTTCTTGGGCCCTGCTATGTGGCTTGAACCTAGTCTTTTGAGTTTAAACTTGTGATTTGAACCCAACACTTGGTTTCTTTGAATTTTTAATTGACCTAGATTTTTTAACCTTGATCT